GGCTCTGCAGCGAGGCTCAGGTTAATGTTTTGTGGGCTCTGCTTCATGTGCCCCCAGCCCGCTGCTGCAAGCCCTTCCCAAGCCCCTAGTGGGCCAGATCCGGGGCACAAGTTCCAGGCTGCCCTGCAGCAGGGTGTGTGCAGGACTGCCCCTCTCCTGTGGCATGAGAGTTTTGCAGGTTTCCAAGGTTGGGCCTTGGAGCTGGAGGGGCTGGGCCCAGCCACACCAAGCAGAGGGGAGAAAGCCAGTGTTCGGGCTGGAAAGTGTGTGCCTTGCAGGGCAGGGAGTGGGACCGAGGCATCTTGCCACGCTGTTTTAGGTTTGCAAATCCAATGGGGCCAGAGAGAAGCCACAGAGCAGCTGCAGACAGATGTGTGGCTTGTTCTCCAGGGGCAGCACAAGCCCCAGCACCAGAACTCTGCCCAGTCCTGCTCTGGGCCCCTGGGTGAGGGAGCTGGGGGCTTGACCTGCCCCACAGCAGCTGCACCTTCCCACCTGCTTCCCTGCAACCACACAGCCTCCATCTCCCATCCTAATAGCAGGGGAAGGAGCAGAGCCAAGGGCCCCCAAAGCCTGGCACCCCACATTTCCAACTGCTGGTGGTCTTGGGGGAGGGACACAAAACATCCTGCACCTTCACTCCATGGCCCCTTCCCAGTGCCCTGCACTACTGTGCTGCCTGGCACCAGCAGCCCCACAGGACAGATGGGAGACAAACTGCAACTGCTGCTCAGAGCCCTGCCAGCTTTTTGAGATACACAAGCAGGTTGAGGAGAGGTCTGCTGGACTTGGGGCAACCGCTGGCAGTCCTGGCCCAGCCTGGGTGCTGGTACACATATTCCTCAGCCCCTGCTAGCCCAGCAGCAGCATGCTGCAGCCGTACTCCCTGCAAACCTTGTGGTGTGGAGGTGAGTCAGGGCTGTTCCTCCACCCTCCCAGCCCTGCAGCCAGCTCTGCTCAAAACCCTGCCGGAAAGGCAGATGCGAGCCAGGGGTCCCACTAGGATCACTGCCTTGGGGCTAGGACCCAGGCTCAGGCATGGGGCTGCCGCACCTACGCTCACCCAGTGCCAAGACAGCCGCAGGCAGGTTTATTCCCAGCACAGGGGTGAGGTGGGGAATACGGGGTGGGGTGTTCCCCCTCTCACTGAGCCAGGCCCCTGGGCACAACCTCCCCCAGAGCCCAGGCCAGGGGCTCCCTAGCTAACTCAGCTCTGCCACCCAGTGTTGCTTCCTGGGGAAATGCCACAGTAATAAATAAGTGTAAAAAGAGACCGATGCACCTTTTAAGCAAAGGAAAACCATGGGGAGGGTTACAACCAGTGACTCGAGCACAGCCGAGGTGCACAGCAGGGGGCAGGCAGGGTGAGGCCCCTTGTGGGCTGGCCCCACGAAGCCACCTGGCTCAGTGAGCCTGGCCTTGCCCTGCTGTATTCCTGGCTGTGCCAGGTGGCAACTAGCGGGACAGGGGTGTCTGTTTGAGAGAGATGAGCACCGAGCGCATCCGCGAGACATCCTTGCTCTGCTTGCTGCTCTTGGGATTGAAATCACAGAGCTGGGCCACCTTCTCCCACTCAGAGCCTGGGGTTTCCTCCTTGGACTCCTTCAGGAATGCTTCCTCCGAGGCCCTGTAGAGACGTTGAGGGTTGTCACTGGCAGAACCCTTTCCAAGGAGACCCTCCCCTCTGTCTGGGAACCCCTTGTGTCCCTACTTCCTGTCCCCTTGCTCCAGCTGATGAGCTCAGTGTCCTCCAGGATCCGGAGACACACAATGCTCAAGGCTGTTGTTGGCTGCACTCACCCAAGATAACGTTAATCCAGGGGCACGGGGGTATCTTACTGCTTCCAAGACTTCTCCCCAGAGCCATCCCCCAAAAGGCACAAGACCCCACAGCTTTGCCTCTTCAACCAGCCCCCACAGGGGCATTTCCAGTAACTCCACTTTGCCTCCTAAGATTCCACCATTTGAAGATGTTCAGATGCAGCGTCCTCCCTCCAGGACCTCGCCAGGGCCCAGTACCTCCCAGAATCCCCCCTTCCCTTGGCTGGGCCG